ATACAATATATACCACAGGTCTTTATTTTGAAACAAAAGATTGTTTTTTTCTGTTTCTGTACTCTGACCCAACCAATGGTTTGTTGTTGGTCTCTCCACTAAAGCTATTTGACTCACAAGGACATAAAATGTTTCTAGTTGGTATAATAACATTTTTATACACAAGAAATGAAGAAATGTGGATCTAAAGAAAACCTCTTTCATTCATTGACCGCTCAACACATAAAAGTTTCTAAAATTCTTCAACAACTGTAAAGTAAGCTCTGACCCAACCAATGGTTTGTTGTTGGTCTCTCCACTAAAGCTATTTGACTCACAAGGACATAAAATGTTTCTAGTTGGTATAATAACATTTTTATACACAAGAAATGAAGAAATGTGGATCTAAAGAAAACCTCTTTCATTCATTGACCGCTCAACACATAAAAGTTTCTAAAATTCTTCAACAACTGTAAAGTAAGTATTTACAGACCAGAAACAAGCTCAAAGACTTGACCCAGTTCCCCCGAGGTCTCACAGCAGGTAAGGAGGAATGCCCATATTTTACCCCTTTTTTTGGTCCAGTTTTGCAGCCCACACTTGTTAGCCTGACTCACTGACCAGCATACATTTTGGCCTGGATGATTTTTCACTTCTTGGTTGTAAGTTACGTGTCAGCCTTAATCAGCAGTCCTTCACCACACACGAGGCCGGTTTCCACATAGCCAGTATGGCTCTGGCTACTGTCGGAGAGAAGAGGGGTCACTTCAGGTCTTGCTGACCTGGCACCCCTTCTGAGCTTGACATTTGTCACAGAAACACTGTAGTTGGTAGCTGGACTAGTTTACATGGACCAATTCGGCTTCAGACTTCACCTCCCTTTTCCGGAAGACATTTCCCCCTCAGCGTATTAAAACTACACAGTAGAAGAACCTATGCACTGGGGGGCACACACTCTTTTCTCTGCATTTGTGACTTTATGAAGCTTTCTTGGGAAGCTAACATAATTTTTCTTTGCGATTTCAAGAAGGCAGAGTGGGAAGCACCCCAGATGCCTCATGTATCATGTATAATAAATCGTGGGTGGGGGTAACATGCCCACCTTCCCTCTGTTAACTGGGGATTCCTCTCCAATGTCTTGGGCATTGATAATTCTAGAAAAATTTCACCAGTGGGAAATGTAAGCAATGTTTACATCATGTTCGAAAGCAACCCGTTTTCTTTCATGGCTGGCAATGAAATACACAGCCTTTTGCACCCTATATTTTAAATTGTGGAGAGTCCACATTGCCCCTGAATAGGATAACCATCCTAAGACACCAAGTAATTATTAAGCAGACTAATATTATTTTCTACTTTCTTTAAGCACCGGGTATTTTTTAAAATGTCTCTATATAAAAACACAGCCTCTCTCTTCATAAAAATTAATACATAAAAAGTCCAACTTGCTCCCTGAAAATTGCCAGTCTGTGCCTCAGCGCTTTACTGCCATTCAATCAGAGAGAGGAATCCAGCAATCCTCAGAACCCAGGTTCTCAGGCTGAGACTAAGACTGACCGGATCACACACAACCGGTGCCTGGCAAGGTACGCTGCCAAGCTCCAAAGCCATCCAACCCAGACACCTGAAATTGTTCTGCCCCAGAGAGCTGGGGACGTTTGAGGTTGGAAAAGTGGGAAGTGGCTGACACCACAGAGGCACGGAGGGCTGGCCAGAAGGAAGAGGCTGAAACCAGAGATGTGCTGTGTGCAGAAGACTGCTCTCCTGGAGATAGTGCTCCTGGAGCGCTCAGCTCTTTACAAAGATCGCAGATGCCCAGCACGGCATCCTCAAACCTACACGCACGCCCAGTAACTCGCGGGTTCATTTGCCCCAACTCAGAAAGCCAGGACAATGCGACCGACTCACCCCTGGATTCCCCATCAGGGGACACGTTCTATTAACAGCCAAACACTTTCCCACCTTTTTCTTTATCTTTCAAGTTTCCAAACCTGGGACCAAGTGGCACAGGACTGTGATCGTGGTTATAGCATCTCAAGGGTTGCTCTGGTACCCAGGGTACCACTGGCGTTCCCAAGAGACGCACTGGCATCTCGCACGCCTGCCAGACTGTAGGGGGTACGGGGAGCCGGGGGGCGGGCGGGACACACACCAAAAGGGATCCGAATGAATGCAAGTGAAGAAGCGAGAACGAGGGCTTGGGGCTGCCGGCAAGGACCACGGAACAATGCCCAGGGACCCCTGGCCCTCCCTTCCCTAGGGCGCTCTCACCATTTGTAACCTCTGCCACGCTTGAACTTAAGGGTGAGCACCATCTCCAGGAGCAGCAGGAGGTTGAGCAGGGCCAGGAGCCAGTAGCGGTGCTCTTCCTTCACCCAGGTCACTCTCCAGACCCCGACCAGCGAGTGCAGCACGAACAGCAGCCTGGTGACCAGGGCCTTGAGCAGGACCAGCCCTTCCATCGTGCCCGCGCGCTCTGCCCTCCGCCAGGCGCCTGCGCCCTGCCGACCCCGAGCTGCAACCGGGGAATCGGCTGGAGCGTCACCGCAGCGGGACGCACCGGACCGCGCTGCCGACCCGTCCCTCCTCAACTCCCGCGCCCCACGCGGGTAGGACAGGAGAGCGCCGCTCGCCCCGCCTCCCCAACTTCCAGAGAACTCTTCAAAGACGCCGGAGTCCGAAGCCCGCTTCCCAGGCTGCCGGGCTCTGCAGGCATCCGGGGCTCCTCCCGCCCAGGCACCCTAGGCGTTATTCCGCAGCCCTGCCCATCCCCCTGACGGTCCTGCGGCCCAGCCTCCATCCCGGCCCTAGGTCCCCACCCCCAGGCCCCCAGGGAGCCCACTGGAGTGTCTCCCCTTCCCAAGACCTGGAGATGAACTGAAGGTCAGAGGGCTGAGGGGCAGCACTGTCCTCTCCTTCCTACCCAAGTGTTCTTTAAGTCACCCCCACGTTCAGAGGAACACAGGCCCTCCTGGTGATTGGAAGCTGGGGGCTCCGGAGAACCGAAGAATCTGCTGGCGAAGCAGTTTTAGCAAGAGCGCAGTCCCTGCCCAGCTTGAAGAATTGAAACTTCCCAGGACCAGGGAGACGCAGACAGGCTGGTTCTTCCCAGAACTTGCTGCATCTCATTCAGTGCAAGGGAAGCCTGGTGTTGCTAGGTAGTGACCTAAGCACTCCACCCCAGGAAGCTGAGGTAGGAGGATTGGGGCAAGTTCCAGGCCAGCCTGGACTACGTTTGGTGAGAGACCATGACTCAAACAAAATCAAAAGAAAGACTGAGAGCTTGGCTACCATGGAGAGAGAGAGAGGGAGAGAGAGAGAGAGAGAGAGAGAGAGAGAGAGCAGAGAGAGAGAGAGAGAGAGAGAGAGAGAGAGAGAGAGAGAGATTGGGAGTTTGGGATTCTACATTCTGCCCCCCTCCTCCCATCATTTCTTCAGCCCATTCCAATAATTTTAAAAGAACAAAACATTGAACAATTTTAAACGTCCACTCTGTTTGAAAAGCAATCTCAGCCTTAGGTACCCAGGCCTTGTGGCTCTGGTGGAGGTAACACGCAAAACGCGAATGCCACATCTCACCCTCCCCCAGGCCTGCAGTGACCTGGCCTCTCTTCCCTTCTGAATGTGGAGTGATTATGTAATCCCTGAGAAATCAAGCCAGGTGCTGAGGGCCAGCTGCGCTCTCCGATGGCACGAGGCACCTCGGGGCTGCAGTTTGTGAATCTTTGCCCAGCCACTCTGATCTTGCTGGTTTCCACCCGATTTTTCCAAATTGAAAAGGAATTCCATTCGCTCCCTTTAACTCTAGGAACCAGGTGCTGTCGTTTGTGTCAGTGACGTTCCCTGAAGGTGAATGTATTGATGGGCCAGTTTCCAGCTGGTGGTATTGCTGAGGAGAAATTGGATCTTGATGGCTTTGACGTAAATAATGGGTTGATCATGGATGCATTCATGACTGGGTAGCTTATTGGGAGGTGGTGGAGATGGGGGAAGCATGGGCCTGATGGATGAGGTGAGTCCCTGGAGCTGTACTTTGGAAGACTGTCGACCCCAAATATCATGTGTGTGTGAGTGCTTCTCTGTCTCTGTCTTCCTCTCTCCTACTCCGTGTGTTTCCTTCTCTCTCTGCCGGCCTCTCCGTCTGTCTGCTCCCCTCACTCGGTGTGAGCCTGTCTGTCTCTCTGCCTCCCTGTCTCTCTCTGTTTCCCCTCTCTGTGTGTCTCTTTCTGTTTCTCTCTTCTCCCCCCCCATATCTGTCTGTCTCTGCCTTTTGTCTCTCTGTTTCCCCTCTGTATGTATCTCTGTATTTCTGTCTCCCCTCTGTGTCTGTCTCTCTCTGTATCTCCCCTCTGTGAGTCTCTCTTTCTGTCTCTCTCCCTTCTGTGTGTCTTTCTGTCGTTGCCTGCCCTCTAGTGTGTGTGTGTGTGTGTGTGTGTGTGTTTCTGTGTGTCTTTTTGTCTCTCTTCCTGTCTTCCCTTTATCTGTGTTGGTCTCTTTTTCTGTGTCTCGTGTGTGTGTGTGTGGGGGTGGGTGTGTGTCTCCCTAAGATCAATGAGATGTGTAACATTGTTCTACCTCATTTTCTTTCCACCATGATGATCTGCCTCATCCTGGGTCCAGAAAAAACAGTCAGTTAACCATGGAATGAGCCCCTAAAACCGTGAGTCAAAATAAATCCCTTCTCACAAGTTGTTCATGTCAGGCATTTTATCACCGCATAGCAACCACTGCATAGACTACCTGATGGCCAGTCCAGCCTGGACTATCCAGAGAGCACTCTGGTGCAGCTTTCCTAGTCCTTCCACATGAGTGAGGCAGAGCTGTTTGAGAAGGGGTGGAATGGGAGTGGCAGACATGACGACTGGTGCACGTGGGGCTATTCAGCCCTGTTGTCTGCCCACCGTGCCAAAGCATTGCTGCCCAAGGCTGCCTGCACACTGTGTGCAACTGTGCTTCTAATGCAGTGCAGGCCAAGAGACATTGCCATTCTGGGGTCACAAGCTGCAGGCCGTTCTCAGAAGCCATTCTCCTTTGGGCTGGGAATCTTCATTCCTCCCTAAAATGTTGTCAGCCGTCAACTTGATGCAAACCTAGAGTCACCTGGGAAGAGTGAACTTCAACCCAAGAATTCCCTTGTTGGGAATTCTTGGCCTGAGGCCTTCCTACTGATAGATGTGGGAGTGCGCAGCGCACTGTGGGTGGTGCCACCCCTGGGCAGGTGGGTCTGGGCTATATAAGAAAGGCAGCTGAGCCAGCCAGGGGAGCAGCCAGTGAGCAGCGTTCCTGCGCAGGTTTCTGCTGAAAGCACCGGCCTTGGCTTCTCCAGGTAACGGAGAGATGAAAGCCAAATGCCCCTTCTTCCCCAGGTTGCTTTTGTTCATAGTGTTTTATCACAGCAACAGAAGAACAAAATAGAACAACTGTGCTAGATCCTATTCTGACATCACTTTTATATATAAATGTGTCAGCGTATGTGATACAGTGCATGGGAAAAAAATCAATTACTATAGAAAGGAACACATCCACCCCCCACCCAGAGAAAAGAGTCGCACTTAACAGCTTTCTCTGTTATATTTTCTGGTGGCTGCAACTACGCTTTTAAAATACATTTTATATTCCTTCAGTTCTTGACTTACCAACAGTAGTCTTGTATCTTAGTAGGGGCTAATCTGTTATTTCTTTGGTAATCTATTTTCCATTATTTCTGTTTTCTTCTAGAATATCTTCTAGTTTTGATTTTGTCTTTTTCATCTATAATCTGATTGTGTTTTTGATGCCTAACTTTGTCTTTGGGTTATTACTAAACTTCAGTAGTGAGTTTTTGTCATTTTATTTTGAAGCAAGACCTAATTGTCCATTGATATCTCACTTTTTACAGTGGCTTCTTGTTTGGTATGTGTTAATGTCTGTAAGATGTCTTGGCGAATATAACTTATGGTCTTTTCAGCTTTCCATCATCTCGTATTCTTAATCGATCATTTATTCAATTCCATCTTTTACTATCAGGGCTTTCTAGCTGATGGATCCTCAAATAACTGAAGGTGTTTTCTTTCCATTTATATTTAAAAATCTATGTGTGAGTTGACCACAGGCTGAATTTGAAATAGGCTGTGACAGCCAGTCTCCCTTGTTGACAGGATTGGACTAACCTAGGAGATAGACTCCTGAATATCTGCTAGAGCATTTCCAGAGCCGTTTAAGAGAAGAGGGAACACTTTCCCTCTTGATTGTAGGTGGCCCCATCCCACCAATGCAAAGGGAAACAAGCCTCCCATACAGGCACTCATCGGTCTCTGCTTCCCACCCCTTGTTCTGTTCCTTCTATCACACTTTCACCATCATGAAGGATGCATCCCTCAAACTGTGAGCCCAAACAAACCCTTTGTTAAGCTGCTTAGGAAAATTTTTTATAACATCAAGAAGAGTAACTAATACCCAGGTGCTCCAAGGTGCTGTTTGTCCATTGGCTTGGCTGTGGTTCTGGTCACAGGGGTGAGGAGCACTTACCATGTTATGTTGGAATGCAAAGAGGAGGATCAGGCAGCCATGGCTAGCTAAGGACAGGGCTACTTGGTGTGTGTGACTCAAGCCTTGGTGGGGGCTGTCTTGTCTTCTTTCCCTCACCAGCTGTGGCTTGAGATGCTCTGCAATGCCCCATAATGAAGCCTCTATTCAGTCAACTTTAATGCTCGATAGAAATTATCCCGTGCCCCTTTCTTCAGAGAACTCTTAGATCACGGTTTGTAGGAAGAGTCACAGGCTGTTTTCTTCTTTCTGGTGCCCCATTGACCCATTGTACCTCTCCCGTGTCATGTCGTAGAATTCCGAAACTCGCTGGTCCACCCTCGTGCTTCCAATGCTGTCTCTATTATGTTATTCTGGATTTAAAAATCATTCTCTGTCATTATAAAGTGAAGTCTTAGCTCTTAGTTCACAAAGTGAAACAGAATACTCACAGATTTATTCACTATTCTAAACTGTGTGGCTTAAATAGATGTAGGAGCAATGCTCTCCACCAGTTCAAGGTGGAGGGTCGCAGAGCACTGTGAAGCTGACAACAGGTGTAATGATTACTGTTCTTTAAAGAAGAAGAGAAGCAGCTGCAATTAATGGAAGACAGGTTATCCCATCCCAAGCCCTCAGCCCTAAACACATGCTGCAAAGCTGACAACAGGTGTAATGATTACTGTTCTTTAAAAAAGAAGAGAAGCAGCTGCAGACAATTAATGGAAGACAGGTTATCCCATCCCAAGCCCTCAGCCCTAAACACATGCACATATGAACGTCATTAAATGGGCTCAGTAGGTTGTTTAGATGCCCCTCCACACACATATGTAACAACAGTAATTAGAATTCAGGAAATTGAGAGGGAGGATTGAGAAGAGAATGTGGGACTCAGAGGGGGAGAGAGAGGGTTGGAAATGATGGAAATACAGTATCAAGTATGAAATTCTCAAATAAATTTAAAGAAAAACGACAAGGTCTGTAGATGGCTTAGTGCTTAAGAGCACTGACTGCTTTTGTAAACCTGGGTTTGGTTCTTAGCACCGGCATATAGGTTAACAACCACCTGTAACTGCAGTTTCAGGAGCTACAATGCCTTCATCTGGCCTCTAAGGGCATCGCACACATGGGGTACACTTACATACATGCAGCCAAAACACTCATACATATAAAATAAAATTTTTTTAAATTAAAACAGTAAATGCCAGTGATGGTCATTAATATACAGATAATTTGAAAGTTAGTGAGGAAGAGAAATCCAAGGTCCAGGTGAGTATCTTGATGTTCTGACTTCTATGTACTGCCTTCAAATGTTGGCTCTACTTCCTAAGTGATGTGACTGTTTTCAAGCCATTTGAGTTGTCATTGTACTTTCTTGTCTGTGGTTAGTATTAAATTAGTTGATATTTGAAAGGTGCTTAGAAGAATGCCTGGAATGCAGGCAATCAGCAAACACATAAATAAATAAATAGATATTTTTAAAAGGGCTGAATAAACAGCCCACAAACCAGACATGCCATTCACCAGGTGCAACTGACACCAAGTTCTCTTTTAAGACTAGCTGCTTGTAAGTAGTGGGATAGAAGAAAATGCTAATAAAAGTGCAAGCTTTCTTCCTTCTGTCATGGGAAGGGAGGCCACTGAACAGCGAAAATCCTGCCTCAACTGTTATGCCAAGAAAGCATGAAAACATTATGGTTTGGCTTCTCTGAATGGTGAGACTCTCCTTCAGGAAAGCAAAGTCACATGGCAAGGACTGACTAGATGGCTCAGGACTTCTATCTCAAGAGTTCACACTGCTCTTGCAGAGGACTCAAGTTTGATTCCTAGCACCCATGTCAGGTGACTCACAGCTACCTGTAACTCCAGCTTCAGAGGATATAGCATCTTCTGGCCAAAGCTGTACATGTTACACACATATACATACACATAATTAAAAAACAAAATCTTTTAAGTCATATGGCTGGATTTGAACCCTGGACTTCTTATGGGTTAATTGTGCACCATCCCATTCACATTGAAGTCCTAACCCCTAGCATCTCAGAATATAACTGTATTTGGATACACGTCCTGTCTTGCTGTTGTCTTGGCATTGTTTTAGTTTATACTAAGTGTATAATAGCTTTCACTGTGACTCTTTCGTACATACATATAACATGCTTTGAGCATACAGCCCCTCTTATATGTCCATATTAGAGTTTTATTTTTCTACTTCCCACATGTGATGGAAAACTTGTCTCCCTGTGTCTAGCTCATTTTGTTTAACATGAAGATCTCAACTTCCATTCATTCTGCAAATGGCTGGATTTTGTTCTTCCTTATGGTGATGGGAGGGTCTGTGCGCAGCAGCATCTGTCCACTTGTTGGTGAGCACCTAGGCTGGCTCCATACCTGGCTGCTGTCAACAGTGTTGTGACAAATGTGGTCATGCAGGCGTCTCTAGTGCATGCAGACTTTGTCACACACCCATAGGTAGTAAAAGTGGACTCGTGCTAGTTTAGGTTTTGGAGGAAACCCATACTAATTTTCATAGTGCCTGAACAAATGAATACTTCTGCAGACAGCATGTGAGGTTTCCCTCCCTGTACCACCACCATTCCTTCTCGGTCTTTTTTTCTTTCTCATGATGACAACCATCCTTTATTAGTGTGAGATGGAATTATGATGTAATTTTAATTTACACTTCCATAATGGCAAAGGATATGGAAATTTTTTTCACGTATTTATTAGCCATTTGTCCTTCTCTTGAAATATCTGCTTGCTTCGCTTGCCCTTTTACTGGTTGGGTCACATGCTCTTTAGATGTTCAATATTTTGAATTCTTCATATAGTCTGGATATTAATTATGTGTTGGATGAGTGCCTGGCAGATTCTCTCCCACGCCATGGCTGTCCTTCTTACTATACGTTGTTCCTTGTGTTATGCAAAGACTTTTGAATTTGGCATGATCTATTTGTCAATATTTTCCATATTTAACCTATTAGTATTTTAATTAAAATGTGGTTACCTATGTCTATAGGTTGTGGTACTTTCCTATAGTGACTTCAAAGCTTCAGGTCTCATATTAAGGTTTTGGAGCCATTTTGAGTCTTTTTTACACCGGATGCGAAATAGCAGTCTACTTTCAACCCTCTCCATATGGTTTCCTCGGCAATATTTGATTTTTTTGAGATAAAGTCTTTAGAAAACTGATTAAGCTAAAACAAGACCCTGTCACACATTTCATAACACATTTCACGTGTTGGTGTTTTTGTGTTGCTACAACAAAATGCTTAAGGCTGGTTCGTTTATACGAAACAGCAATTTATATCTCATCGTTTCTGGATGCTGGGGAAGTCAGTGGCTTTGGGGGGGGGTCACTGATCTAATGAGCTAGTACAGTGTCTGAAGGTCAGGATACAGGGTAATCAAATAGCAGAAGACAGAAAGACAAAAGACACAAATTCCCTTGTCAAATCATTTTACAAGGCCACCTAACCCACTCATGAAAGATGAGCAAGGGGCCCTCATGCATCCTCTTGGTGAAGGTCCCTCTTCTCAAACCACCACATAGGTAATTCCAGAATGATGGATCACACACATTCAAAATAGCAGACCCTCAAGTTAGGCCCTAATCCATTCTGACTACTGCCCTTGGGAGAAAGGGAAGTTGGGACCCACAGATGGAGAGGTGTTCATTTGAAAAGGAAAGAGCGTGGAGAGCGCGGAGGGAAAGTAGGAAGGCAGCACTGTCAAACCCGGGAGAAAAGCCTCAGAATGGAGCAGACGCGTCACATAGCACTCCTAGACCTTGGCTCTAGAAGGTGAGAAAGTGGGTTTCTGGTGGGTTAGCCTTGTTGTCCCAGGCCTAGAATAGTAACAGAGCTCCAAGATGTGACCTGGGGAATCTCTGAGCCTCGGTCCCCTCATTTAAATAGTGAAGATAGTAGTAAGATTTTACCTGCTGCCTTTTGAGAACAAAGCAAAATCATTCAGCACAAAGACGGCCTCCTGCCAATGGCTAAATATGCTCTTTGTTTTTAATTGCTAAAACACTAATTTTATCATAGCTATAGACGCGTATGCATAAAATATATAATCGCAAATCACAGTAACAATTGCTGTCATTAAATTGTCTATGGAAAGAGTCAGCAAACCTCTCCCTTTCTGCTTGAAATGTGAGCAGCTACATTAAACACCGAAACATGGCTTTTTGTAGCCACAAACCTGCTTTCTTGATGAGGAAATAACCTTTTAAATGACTTTTGAGGTCAAGTAAAAACAGTAGTATGAATTGTGAGGAAAATAAATTTGACTAACACAAAAATATCAGTTTGAAGACAGAAATCTTGTTTTAAACATGATTGAAATCAATATAAAGGAAACACATATCACTAAATGGGGAATGTAGCTAACCAGGGGGGACACAAGGATGGATAACACCAGAAAGCACTGTTAGATTTGGTTTACAATAAATAGTTGCTTTATGTGTAATTTCAAGGAGGTGGTCAGAGAGCCATGAAGGGAGAAATGGGTGATGTCCAAGGGCCTTAGCCACAGCCTCAAGATCCTTTATTGTAAAATGGAGCTGAGGATGACACCCTTGTCCGCTTCATGATCATGAAAGGAGTCAAACCAGGTGACAGATGTGGTCAAGATTAATCTCACTAGTGATTAATCATATGGATAACGTCTATCACAATGCAATGTGATCTAAAGGGATTCTACCCCTACGTTCTTCCTCCCCAAGCCCATCGCTGTAGTGTAAGCATGAGAAAATTATCAGGCAAACTCAAACTGGGCAAACTGGGGGGCTTCTTCCAGGAAGAGCTGTCAGTCCTTCTCAAAACCCTCACGGTCATGAAAAGACACAGGAACTCAAGAAGTAGAGGAAAGGAGGAGGCCTTGTCGGAATCCCATGTGCAGTCCAGGATGTGGTTCTGCAACACACCAAGGACTGCTCGAAGCACAGTTGAGAGAATTTGCTCAGCCTCGCCACAACAAATCAATGAAGGTCCCTATGTGTGGAAGACATAACATGGTCCTGTAAAATGCTAACTGAAAGAAAAATGAGATGTAAACAAATTCCATCACTTTCACCAATTTTATAAAACCATTTTAATATATAAGCTATTGTACTATAAACCTATTTCAATATATAAAATATTAAAATGTATTTTAATTTTATAAAAACTATTAAATGTATCTTTCAATGTATTCTTAAAAAGTTAATTAAATGGGTCACAAAGCAAATGAATAAATAATAGACCTGAGAGAGAGATTTGTGTGGGAAAGGTGGGGTAGACAGGCATGGTAGGGAGCTGGGATAAGGTACGGGGGGTAGAGGTCAGTATGCACTGTGTATATGTGTAAAAGTGTGTAAGAACAAAATTAATTTTTTAAAGATTAATTATATATAAATAAAATTCCCCTTTGTTTACTCCAAGGTGCTGTTATCAGGACCAGGTTGTCAAAAGCCATTGATGCTCAAATACCATCAAATGGGGTAAGTAATATTTTCTCATATAGTTTTATGCCTTCTCTAACATATAATACCTAATGCAAAGTAGATGCTGTATGTAGAGTTGCTAAACTGTACTGTTGAGATGATAATGGCTAGAGAAAGGTCTGTACGTCTGTACATGTTCTCTGCAGGTGCAGCTCAAACCACACAGCACTAGAACAGGCTGGATGATAGTGTCCAAGCCAGTGGCTCTTAACCCCTGAGCCATCTCTCCATTCCCTTGAAAATTTTTTGATCCATGGTTAGCTAACTGCACAGACGAGGAAACTCTCATCAAATGATATGAAGGGATGCCTACCTGTGTACAATTTTGCATGGTGGTTTCATTTTTATTTGAAATCAACTTATAAATGAAATCCTTGGCCTTAGAAATGTCAACTAAAGGACATATTATGTAGCAGTTTGGGCAATATTTTTAGACTAGCAGATTCTATTCCGCTGTCTTCCATGCAATTACGTTTTTATTCATTGATACAGTTGGTGTCTGCATGCTGCTGTACCAGAGTTGATCTACTCAAACCTTCTGACTTTGTAGACTGAACCCTGAAAAGAGATTTCACTAATGTCACAGCTTATCTGTCTTGTGACAGCATTAGGAATTTGAAACAAAAGATCTTTTTTAATACTACAAAAAGTACTAGAAATATGAATATATGTGTGCATGCATGTGTTTGTAAACAAGCACACATATGTGTTATGAAAGCCTGGGACATTTTCTGCTGGGGGTTTGTGTTCGTCGTGTTTTTGTTCTTGTTTGCAGGGAAAGAACTTAGGGCCTTTGTGAATGCCCAGCAAAGTTTTCTACCACTGAACTATATTCCCCGTTAGACTATCTTTTTTGTTTTTGTTTTGGTCCAGGCTTTTAAAGGAATACAGCCTGGCTCAGTTAAGGATGAAAGTGTGATAACAAACCTTAGTAAAACTACCGCTTTAGATGGCAGGTCTTGATTAAGTGTTAGGGCTGTATGGGTCAACAGGATCTGGTCTCTTATCCCAAGGACCTCACACAGGATCCAGGAAGGAGATAGCTAATCAACTTTATGCTAATACATCACAGCGAAGGATAGATATGTGCACCAGGAGAGCTCCAAGGAGAGTCACCCAACCCAACCATGGCCTTTAGGATTCTTCTTAAAAGGTGAAGGAGGAGTTAACACATGGAGAGACGTGGGGAGGGGTTCCAGCTGGAAGAAGCAGCAACATGTCCTCTGAGACCACAGGGAGGAAGGAAGGGTGTGGGTTGAGATAAAGCAGAGACTGAAGTGAGACAGGAAGTTGGCATGGGTCAGACCTGATGACCTCAGTCAACATAGTGAAGCAGAATGTGGGGGGGCGGGACAGGGAGGGATGGGGGTTGGGAAAGAAACTTGAGGAGCCTGGTTCAGATTTGAGCTTGACTCTGAGGTGGGGGAGGTAGACAAAAGGAAATGAGAAACTAACTAAGCATTCTAATCTATTCCAAGAACCAATAAGGATGTGCCTTTCCTCCAGCAGGGCTCCAGCTGTAGAGAGGGGAACTGGTAGCAGTTACCTAGGAGGCTCTTCTTCATCAGACGGCAGGGTGGGAGGGGCTAAGAGAGCTGAAGAAGTTGGAATCAGTGGTCCCATATCCACTGTGAAATCTGAAGGGAAAGGGTTAAAGTCAACCAACTGAAAGAATATGGACAGCAGGAAGTGGAGATTGGGTTTTCTATGATCTAAAGGAACTATTTTTTAAAACTCTCTTAAAATCGAATTTTATAGAAATGGATCATAAGTTGTGTGCAAGCTCCCAAGGGAGAAAAGATGAAATTGGGTGAAGAGACTCAGAGGACATTAAAATTCGATGCCAAGCTGGAGAAATGTCTCAGCAGTTAAGAGTATCTGCTGCTCTTCCAGAAGACCTGTGTTCAGTTTCCAGCTCCCAGTGCAGTTGCACATGCAAGGCTTATACTCTCACGGACACACATGCACATGAGTGAAAATAAAATAAATTATAAAAATCGAAACAGTAAACCTGATCCCAACGACCCCAAAGACGATGGCCCTTCAAGGAGGAGTGGAAGCCTTGAGCGTGCATAGCCGTGAGCAGATAGTGGGTCACCTGCTAGTTCTGCCCTCAGCTTTCTGCGCAATCTTCACACTGGCTTCCGTAGCGGCCAGACTAGTTTACATTCCCACCTACGGGGGGTCAGTGTTCACTTTTGCCCACAGTATTTATTGTTTGTTTTCTTGAGAACTGACATTCTGACTGAGGTGAGGTGGAAGCTCAGTGCAATTCTTAGCGGGGAGTGGAGTTGAACATTTTGTCCATGTTATTGGTCATTTGAACATCGTCTCTTGAGAACTGTCAGTGTCATTTGCTCATTTATTGATTGGGTTGTTTGACATGTTATTTAATTTAAAAAATATATTTTTATTTATCATTTTAATTTTATGTGCATGAGTGTATTGCCCGCATGTATCTAAGTGCAGCAGTGCCATGCAGTCCTTGCGGAGGTCAGAAGAGGGTGTTGGATTCCCCTGGAACTGGACTTACGGATGGTTGTCAGCTGCCACGTGGGTGCTGGGTCCTCTGCAAGAGCAGCCAGTGCTCTTAACCGCTGAGCCATCTCTCCAAGCCTGTTGTTGGTGCTTCGAGTTCTTGTACAGCGTAGACACTGATCCTCTCCCAGGTGCAGAGCTGGCACAGATTTTTCTCCCATTCTGCACTTTGTTTCTTTCCTAGACTAACTGCCCTTTCACAGAGACGCTTGCGTATCAGCGTTCATTGTTGCAGTGGTCACCATTGACGTAGGTGTCCAACAGCAGAGGACTGGCATACAGCGTAGACACTAATCCTCTCCCAGGTACAGAGCTGGCACAGATTTTTCTCCCATTCTGCACTTTGTTTCTTTACTAGACTAACTGCCATTTCACAGAGATGCTTGCGTATCAGCGATCATTGTTGCAGTGGTCACCATTGACGTAGGTGTCCAACAGCAGAGGACTGGACAAAAGCTGTGGATTGCGTGCACGGCAGAAGTTTCCTAGGCCGTAAGGAAGAATGAAGTCGTGTTATTTTCAGGCAAATGAATACGATGGGAGAGGATCACATTTTGTGGATTAAGTCAGTCTCAGAGGGACAGACACCATGTGTTCTCTCTCACTCACAGGTCCTAGATCTTACACAGCCTTCATCAAGTCTTATATGTGCAGAAGCTGTGAAAGTAGACGTGAAGCTGTCCAGCTGGACAGAGGGGTCTTGGGAGGGGGTGACAGGGAAGGAGGAGAGCACAGGAGGGGTGTCCCCCAAGTACCGTAAGGGCCTGCATGAAAAAGACCGAGGGCTGCAGTAGACGCCCTGTAATTGCTTATTTTTATTTTATGTGTATGCCTGTTTTGACTGTGTGCATGTAAGTGAACCCATGCCTGCAACTCCCACAAAGGCCAGGAGAGGGCATCAGATCCTCTGAGTCTGGAGTGCCTGGGTCCTCTGGAAGAGCAGACAGTGCTCTTAATCTTCAGCCCCAGGAATATAAT